AAGAAAAGCAGATGTCGAAAATGCTGATTTTTTCCTCCTAGATATTCCATTTCTGAGCCAGAAAAAAGATGAGCAATTAAACTCCCCAAAAAAACAGATAAAACAGTTTTGTAGAGGAGAAAATACTCTTTCGAATGAATGTATACATTTTGCTGAATAACAAAACAAAACGTTGCAAAATAACTCTAACCCAAAACTCTACGAACTTATGTTACAACCCAATACAAGGATGGGATGTAACGTTTTTGACACCAATCAGTTTCTCTTATGAATTGCGCCCTGCATTCGACTTCCATTCAGAATCAGATCATAGTCTTGAAAGTGTATTGACTTATACAATGTCTTGCGCTGCAGACAGCCGATCGTCGAGTCAGAGCTTCAATTCTCTCCGACGGGTCAGCACTAAATCACACAGAGGTTGTAAAAGGATTGTTTGGCCTGGGCGGGTATTACATAGGTTGCTTAAGTAGAATTCACTACCGCATCAGAAGATAGGCAGAGAAATGTCATCAGAATCATCCGGAAACTAAACATCAGCGTCTGACCATAATCAACAATAACGGAAAGCCCTCTTTTTCTTGAGTGTCTTTTATTTACAGCTCTCACTGGCCGTATCTACTCTGAAAACCTCGCTCCGAATGGAAGAAAGTGTAACGGGGCCGATGCATTCGTCCTTGATAGGAACCGATCAACTACAGTACTCCTTGGATCCGGCCGAACTGCAATCGTTTGCAGCTCAAGTCGCCAAATCATCAGTGATTAATCAGTGATAATTGCTTCTGGGAGTCTCAAAAAATCATTTCCTCTGGTTTTTCATTTCCGATGCCAGAGAAAAACTCAACCTTGCTACTAAAAAGTACTGCTGTAATCGGAAATTTTTCGATTATTCTTCTGTCAATGCTGCCAGTGAGGGGATTAGATCTTTATTATAGGCCCACTTAGAATCGCTCAACATAACCCATCGAGACCTCGCCGCCCGTAATATTCTGGTCGGTGAGAACAAGCAGTTGAAAATCAGCGACTTTGGCATGTCACGACTGGGGGTCTACGTGAAAATGAGCAAAGGTGGGTGCGAGCATAGTAAATTACATGGTCTTGCAGAACTCGTCCATTTTCAGGAGTGATTCCACTGCGATGGCTGAGTCCGGAAGCGATTCGAGATAATATTTATTCGACAAAAAGTGATGTTTGGGTAAGTCAAAGAGCTACCGGAGGAGTCCCGATTTGTCAATCGCCTTCTCAGAGTATCCTATTTCTTTGTAGATTACTCACATTGATTTTATTATTCTACTGTAATTCAGGCTTACGGTATCGTGCTATGGGAGATAGTGACACTGGGAGGATTTCCGTATCCGACAGTGTGCGACAAAGACATGCTACAATATTTGCTAGATGGAAACCGATTAGAAAAGCCGATCAGCTGTTCCGATGAAATGTATGGGTAGCATTTTTTTGATATCACCTTATTTTCAAATGTGTATCCTAGTAAATTACTGTAGCCCGATCGGGTCAAGACCTAGCTCTGCAAAAGTAAACCAAACTGAACGAGAACTGAACAACTGTAGTGTGAATCCCAGTTTTGGAAGGCATCCTTCCGTTCTCCGATCTCAGAGTCGAGACGAAATTCTCAAGAATTGAATGTACGCCAAGTCAAAGAGATGACAATTTCAGATATGCAGTAATGACTGAGTGTTGGCGACTGTGCGCTCGAGACCGACCATCATTTGTGTGCCTTTGTGATCGTCTCGGATCTCTTTCCATTCCATATGTGGAATTTGCGCCGAATACTACGCTTCCTCCTCATGGTGAGCTCACTAAAATTCTCTACAGGCAGCTACTGCTAGTTCACTGGCCTCTATTCAAAGGCACGGTTCGCGATGTTCGCGATGGAAGTGGTTTCTGAGATTCGCCCTCTCTTATTAACCTGAAGCTCCTTATGGATACAGAAAACGCTGTTAGTCCGGAACGGTTGTATAGGGCTTAATGAGGGCCAAAGAACCGGCTCAGCCGACGTCCACACTCAAAGGCGGACGAGATCTCAGAATGAGGTTACAGGAGTGGCACTGTTCGCTGAATCGACAGCGGCATCTTTCATAGTCCACGATTTTGCGAGCGACCAGTCGCGCGACCCGTCTCTAACGACTGGTCGCGGACCCATCTCGCGAGCGACTAGCGACTGGTCGCTCGACTGATCGCGCCACTGCTCGATCGGTCGAGGGGGCTGCGCTAGTTATGG